AGAGAGAGAGAGAGTTATTGTTTAATTTGAAAAAAACAATTTATTTTGAATTATTTATTTTGTAAATAATGTCATAAATAAGTCTTGGTAAAAAAAAATCTGATAAAAAATATAAAATTCAGTCTCTAATTAGTGGATTCATGATGAATGCTTAAAATATATAATTTCTTGATTTTTAAGTTATCAAACAAGAAAAAATACTAATATTAGACCACTAGTTTTCATTTTTCTTACAACTTACATTCCTTCAAGTTTTCTAAAAATTCCAAAAAACAAATAGTGATAATGTTGTGTCACCTTTTGATTAATCCACCCAAAATTGATGGTAGGCTAATTAATGAAGGAAAATTGTTTCATCCGGTCTGGACCGCTTTTCTACAATATGCGGTCTCAAGCATAAAGCATCCATTTTAAAGATAGATGCAAATAAGTTGTCCATCTAAAAACAATTGAAACAAATGGTCCAAATGTTTTTTTAATAGAATTATTATTTTTAATTTTTATAATTTATTTATTTTGTCATATTCATGGTCTCCATGTAAGAGATTACATGTCTTTAAAAATTAAGTAAAAGGATTCATCTTAAAAATAATTTTTTAAGAGGTGACTCATTTTTTAAGAGGTGACTCATTTTTTAAGAGGTGACTCATTTTTTAACAGTATCTATGAATGAAATGGTGAGTATGCCACCTAGGAACAATACATTTTGTTTTAATTTAAAATTTGATTTTTAGGTTTGGGTCGCTTATAACCAATTCAAGTCGAAGTCCGCATCTGAGTCCTGCCGAACCCGAACCCGAACCCAGACCCAACCTGAGCCAGTGCCACCCCTAAAATGCTACCATGTCCTTGGGCAGAATGTGCTCCCATAAGAATTACATTAGAGAGGATTCCATGGAAAGGATCAAAGTAATAAAAAAAAGATAGAGGTGATAAACTTCGGACTTGAATTTTTCACCAAACCGAAGCAATGTCGGAACAACTTAGAGAGAGAGTGATCAGCATTCAGCATTCTATAGAAGATCGAGAGAGAGTGAGCTTCTAACGATTATTCAAAGAGAGAGACAGAGTGTGTGCATATAAGGATTTGTTTTGGGTCATGTAATGATTTATTATATGGGTGCTGTTTGTATAGAGCAGAGGCTCTAAACAATCAAAATAAAATGCATCTTTAAATAGTATCGAGAAATGTGGTTTCAATGCTGGAAATCTTTGTGATATCCTTAAAATATATTTTTATCTTGAATTATAAAATTTAAAGAATAAAAAATAGTGTAGATCAAGCCAATCTATAAAAACTTGAAATTCTTAAAAACTAACTGTCTAGAAATACGTTAAAAAATGTACTATTTTTAAATTTGAAATCTATTTTTTTTGCATGTCCATGCATTTTGAAGTATGAGGTGATCAATTTGAAGATAATCAAAAATAAAAGTGAAATTTTTGAGGTATGCTCTAATTTGCTTGTTCATAGCGTAGGCTCTATGTAAAGTTTTCCGTTTAGTATAGTGTAACTGTCAATCCATCCATGTGCCATATAAAAATGATAGGTGTGAGTTTGACGGTCGTGGCGTCAAAGTGAAACAAAGCATTTGACAAACATGTCATGCGATTTTAAAAAGCAACGCATCATCCACATTCGAAAGGGAAACTTTCCCTCTCTCTCTCTCTACTCCTCACCTTAACGGAGATGACCGTTGATCCAAACCATACAATACTCCCAAAAAAACACCACTCCCAATGGAAACTTGCCACTCTCCATTAGCAAAATAGCTATAACACCCTAAGCTTTAGAAGACCAAATGCCCTTACGAATCCCCAAAATTAACCCCAAATTCCTGTTCTTCTCTGTAATTACTTGTACTTTTATGAGGGTAAATCCGGTAAGTTTTCTGCGCGCCCGGACATCGCCATCCCCATTCAAAAAAATTCAAATTCGACTGAGAAAAAAACCCTAACCCGGCTTAAAAAAAACCAGAACCACTCTGTGTCTCTCTTGCTGTAGCCGAAAAACCCACAAGCATCGCGATTGAGGAGCGAGAGTGAGAAATTGTAGAGAGAGAAAGAGGAAGGAAAAGATAGATCGAGAGAGGACCAAAAGGGTTGAGAGATAACAGAGAAAGAGAGCGGCATTGCTTCGAGTTGAAGCCAGGGCCCCATCTTTAGATCCCCTCCCTCTCTTTCTCTCTCTAAAATGACTTCAAGAAACTACACGCGACCTCCCGCTCCCAGAAGCCCGTCAAATGTAAGGTCGCTTCTCTATTCTCCATTGTCATTTTCTCTCTCTAGGTCCAGTGTTTTCATTTCCTTAGATCCATTTCAGTTCTTTTGCAGGTCCCCATTTCATCTTCCACCTTGTTGATGGTTCTGTTTGTGATTCAGTTTTTAGGGTTTTTATCAATTGAGTGTTATAGGTTTTGTTGGTCCTCTTCTTTTGTGTTTTCAGAAGAAGGAGAACATTGATGAAGTTCCAGTTGATAAGCGACAGAAGATAGGGCGTGACATGTTTGGGACTGGGAAAATGGCAGGGGCTCAACTTAGAACTAGGCAAGCTTTTTCAGTGGTTAATTCTGGAGAAGAAATCTCAGATCACACTAATGGAGGCTTAGGCAATAGAAATATGGATTGCAATTCTGTTGAGTTTAGGCGCGAAGATGTTGATGCACTTCTTAATGAGAAGATGAAAGGGAAAAACAAATTTGATTACAAGGTCGGTATATTGTTGTTGTTTTATTTATTTTTATTGAACGGAATTGGGGGGTGCTGATTCATGTGAATTTTGTGCAGGGAAAGTGTGAGCATATGACCGAGTACATAAAGAGGCTTAGACAGTGCATCAAATGGTTTCAAGACGAACAAGAGGCCCTTCTCATTGAGGAGGATAAGCTCCGAAGAGAGTTGCAATCTGCTGAGAACAAACACAAGGAAATTGGTATTGCATTCTTGAAAATGTGGTTTTTCATTTCAATTTTTGGTTGTTATTTCTTGATAATGTTTTTTTTTTTGGTTTGGCCACTTGGGGGGCCGGGGGGGGGGGGGGGGGGTATTATCAGGCTTTTGTTTCATATTGTTCGGGCCTCCACAGGATGTTCTGTTTTGTGATTTTTTTGAATGGCTAATTCGTAAGTGGTTATTCTGTTGCTGATGTGCATTTTGAAAGTATTGTGGCATGTATGTACCATATAGCAATCTATGAAAGAATAGATTTTGTTTCAGTTATTGATGTCCATAAAATTTTTTGTTTTAATTTCTTATTTTGCATAATTCAAATGAAATTTTTTGTTGGACTGATTAGTGCTTTTGTAGCTGCACCCAAATTAAAACGAAAGATCTGCTACATTCATTTTTTTATCTTTTTTTTTTCTTCACATATTTTTGCAAGGTATGACTTTATTTATTTATTTATTCTCTGGTGTACTTTAATTTCTTTTCAGAGTCACAAATGAAGAAAAAAGAGGAAGAGCTGACAGATACAGTTGCAGAACTGAGAACAAGTCTCACTACTCTTCAGGAGAAGTTCGCAAATGAAGAATCGGATAAACTGGTGATTCTATCAACTTTTTTGTTTTAATTAGAATTGGATTAACTGGTGATTCTATCGACTCTTTCATTACAATCACCATTGCCATCTTTGTCATGGATATAAATCAGAGAATTGGACACTTCGGTTACATTAATTACTGTTTAGCACTCCAGTTTGACATTGGTGCTCCATCATATATTCATAAGGATTATGTGGGATTTGGCTCTCTGTATTGTGTTTTTATGCTTTAACTTAATGTATTTGGTTTGGCACCCAGGCCGCTCTGGATTCTTCACGAAAAGAAATTGAGGCAAGATTGGCTGCTGAAAAGACGATTGCTTCTCTTTCCGAAGAGTTGGAGAAGGCTCATCAAGAGTTGGTGAATTTGAATCAACAGGTACATGTTAATATGGGCCCTTTAAGAAACTATGAGATAAATCAAGTTTTGTTTTGGCATTCTTATTGGCTGTCCTTGAGCTTCAAACTTTTTTCCCTAATATAGCAAACAATCCCCCTTTGCAGATGTCAAATCTACAAGAGTGTAACAAAAGGTTACAAGAATATAATGCAAGTTTGCAACAGTATAACAGTAAACTTCAGACAGATGCCGCAGCTGCTAACGAGTCCATATCACGGATTCAAAAAGAGAAGAATGCTATGATGGAAACTCTGAGCACTAACAGAGGTCTTTCTACTTCGTTACAAGAGAAGCTCAATGCATCTAAAGTACGTATATTTTATATAACTAATTGCACTGTTTCTGGCTTTGTCTGGTCATTTGTTTATATTCAGTTTACATCAGCCACCCATTTGGAGGTCTTTTTAAGGTATTCTTTCGATTGAGAAATAAGAAGTAGTAGTTGCAATTTTGGTGTGAGATTATTTTATCAATATATTAACGATGTTAACTTTTTCATATGGGTTTATTTGGGACACTCTCTAGCTGTTGTCTTCTAGTGGAAATGATCAGTATCTAGGGGGGTTTTGTCTTCTGCCCTTGATGTGCAAACTCTACTTTAAGAATCCTAAGATTTGGTAATATACAAAAGAACCTGGATAGTATTAAATGGTGCACATTAGATGTTGTTATTTACATGCACTAATCATTTATTTGAACATTCCATTGATGTTTCCGTAAATGGTTACATCACAAATATTTCCTTTTTTTTTTTTAAAGAAATGACCATTCATATTAAACTATCTTTTAGTTTAAATTTTAAATATTTTTTCTTTATGGTGCTGTGTTTTGCTAATTTATCAAGAGGAACTTGCATTGGTAACATACATTAGTGAAGCAGGGGCATTAAACTGTTCTAGTTGTCAAGCTGGCTGTGTGCTATGGCCTCTTGTATTAGAGATTGAACTTTGAGATGTTTACTGTTTTAATTTTATCTTCTTTTCTAGATAAGAAATCACAGTCATGCTACACTTCTGTGTTGTCAGAGCTGGCTGCTTGGGGGCCTAGGCGGCTGCATGAATCCTGCCTCAAATGGGGGCAGCATTCTTTTGTACCTATATACATGAAATCTACAAGTGCTTTTCTTCATGAAGGATTTTTCATCTGGCATTCCAGTCTCGAATGTGTAAATATGTCATTCTAGTCTCGAATGTGTAACTATCCTTTGATAGTTTAAAGGAACTTCTTTCATCTCTGAGTCAGTGAACGAGCATCCAAAATGGTGATCATGCAGTTATTCTAGGTTCTTCGTTATCTGTTTCTCATAGCTATATGGGCTTCTAATGAAGGGACGTGTAATTTTTAACTTGTAAAAATCTTGGAGCATGTATTTTATATCTTGTCAAAGCCATCTCTTAGGGGTAGTGAAGGATCACCCAGAACAGTTGACATGTAGTCGTTTTAGGTTCTTTCCTATCGTTTTCTCTTAGCGAGATGGACTTATAACATAGACGAGAGATATCAACTTTTAAAAGCCTTGGAGTTTGCATTTGAGATCTTGTCATGGCTCTTTTAATGTGTGCTTGGTTTTGTTTGTTAACTGCTACTTTTATGATGATAATTTTTGTAGAAAGACAATTTCTTTGGGCTATGTTATCATCGAAATCCTAACTAACTCCTTAGCTACCAAAGATGGTGATTGTCAACGTGGTGCTTGGGACGGCTTAACATGATCTCTATATAGGAGTATGCTTAAACATTGGAAATATTGACTCCAACATAGGGAAGACATTTTTTGGATGATTTAGTTGCTGAATAAAACATGGCTTGCATTTAATAGTGCATGTTATTTGATGATTCACCAAAAAACTGAATGAATTATTTATATATGTAAGGATGAGGGTTTTTCAACATTAAAACAACCTTTTCGATAGATTTTTGAGGTGCATCTGTAATTCTACTTTTCCCTTTAGTGAATTAACCCATCACAATTCACTCTAACAAACCTTTGTAATTTGAAGGGTTATGATATATATACATAT